CTGGGTAAAAAATGTCAAGTTTGTTAATTAAAGTGATTTTATTGGTCATTTTTCCTAAATTCTATGATTTGTTAGTTCTTCCAGATTAATATTAAATCTTATAATTACCCAAAATTAGAGTAAAAAATGTGGTTAATTTTTTTATTTTAGTGCCAAGGTGCATATTAACATTTTTGTGCAAAACTATTAGTTATTATCATTGATGCAAAAAATCATAGACAAAAATAAAACGAAGAAGCTTACGAATTTAATTAAGTTAACTCTACTAATATAACAATTTGAATTCACTGAAATGTAAAAAAATGTTGTAGTATAATGAACTACTTTAGTAACAATTCTCAAAAAACGTGTATTTTGTGCCATTTTTTTTGTTTTAATTTTAAGCTTTTACTTTATAAGTTTAATAACATYAAGTTTTCATTTCAATTTCTTTAAGTGAAATTCAATTAACTTTTTACCCTGAAAACTGTCAAATGTGATGTTCTGATAGCAAAAATATGTTATAGCGGAAATTTTAGTTTCGTTAATTTATCGCTTTATAAAATGAATAAAGAAAAAGTGAAATTCTGCTCTTCCAAAAACTTGAAATTTTAAATATTTAAATTTGATTCAATTCCACTAAAATTAATTGTTTAGTCTTAACGACAATCTAGAAATTTTTTCTTAATGCCTTAATTAAATTAAAACATTTATAATAATTAATTAGCGACGTCACGTTTACAGAAAAATTCTGACCAAAAATATTAAGCTTTCATCAATTTTACTAATAGATTTGACACTTTTATTAATTAAATCGCCACTCATTAATAACATTTTTTAAAACTAATTTACACATTTTGTCACCAGCACATAAACTTCTTTTAATAAAGCGAAACCTTTACAAAGTAAAGGTAAACACATTAATTTTTTATAACGAAATTTACGACTCACTAACTAACCAAATATATTCAAATTTCTGACATTTTCCCTAACAAAAGCGAAATATAGCCACTTAAACCGACATCCGTGTCCTCTCAAAAAAAAATTAAGTCAACGATTATTATTATAAAATTAACTCGGAATCCCGGATTAACACCTTAAATTTATCATTTGTAGAGCTAATAAGGCTGCATAAAATGTTATTGTCGTGATTTTAGAAATTTTAATTGTATCAAAATGCATTACAAAATTCATGTTGGTAGGCTTGAAGCAATACAGTTWAAGTTTTTTAAATATATAAAATGGTTGCTGCCTTATTATGTGCAAGATGATTACAATATTTCATTAAATTATTTGTCTCTTTCTATACTTGAAATTAGAAGAAGATATCAGGCTTTATGTTTTGTTTATAAACTTTTAAATAATTTGATTAATGATACTTCAATACTAAATTTAATTAATTTTCACGTTCCACAGTATAATTGTAGATCAAACCAATTATTCAAAATTTCGTTTGCACATAATAATTATATATTTAATTCTCCTCTAAATCATCTTTTAAGAATTTGTAACATGTACAGTGTCAAGTTGGACTTTTTTCATTTTAAATCCTTTAATAGCTTTTCTGAAAGTTTCTTTGAGTTAGTCATTTAGTATTCTTTAATTATGTTTATATGTTGCTTATTATAATTTTATTATTACTTAATGTAAAGGATATTACCGTTAAATAAAGTTATGATTATTATTTTTTGTTGTTATTTTTATGAATTTTTTTGCCTCACCTAACTCGACTAGAGGCCCCCCGGCCTGGGGGCGGCCCGATGGTGGTGTGCAGCGTCCTGCCCCTCAACTGCGCCGCCGTTTTGTTCTGGGCGGCGGCGGCGGCCGCCAACTGTCCCGCACTGGTCCTCGGCAAGCGCGAAGACACCCCCGCGCAAACCGCCACACTCACCAAGAGCAGGCACCACTCGGCACCCCTCATGGCACAGCACCGTCACCAATCACAAAAGAAACAAAAGAAGCGCGCACGCCAATTGTCGCAAAATCCGGGAATACTCCGGACTCGTCAGGAGTTGGTGTGCTACTGACCGCAGACGCGCTCCGGACTTTCACTCGGAGTTGGCAGGAGTTTTCAGCAGGTGCCGCGACATCAGCTGGGGGGTCAACAAGTCTCTCGCTCTTTTGCTCTCTCGCTTTACTACAACGTTCATTCAAGATTCACGCGAGTAAGAGCATCCTAGGTCATAGTTGCGTCACGGAACCYGAGGAGCAGACGGCAGGGCGCCCCGGGTGCCCGCAAACACCACACGCGAATTCAAATTACAAATTTTCGAAAATGTGAAAATTTTACACGAATTCTAAGCAAAAAAAAGCTCAAGACTCTTTTACAATCACCAACAGACCATATTTTTTTTATTTACTCTAAATAATGCAACATGTTGAAGTATATGGAATAGAAAGACTAATGGAAAAAATAAGCTCAAGCCGACATTTTAATAAAAATCCGAGCTTTATTTGGCTTAAAAATGCCAAAATCGTGCAAGGATCAAGTCATATAGAATATCCGTTAGAAATGAATTAGAAGTTACAACATTTTAAACGAATTCTAAGCAACAAAAAGCTCAAGACTTATTTATAATCACCAACAGATCTTATTTTTTCTATTACCTCTACTACCGCATCTTTTTTATTTACTCTAGATAATGCTACATGTTGAAGTATGTGCAATAGCAAAGCTAATAGAAAAATAAGCTTTATTTGACATTTTTAAAAAAGTCCGAGCTTTATTTGGCTTAAAAATGTCAAAATCGTTCAAGGATCAAGACATATAGAATATCCGTTAGAAATGAATTAGAAGTTACAATATACTTAATAGAAAAAATAGGGTGTGTGACTCAGTTTGATGCAGACCTAAGCTTGTTTTTATCTACACTACTCCAAGAAATTTTTTCTAAATTTTTGATGATTTTTGAAAAGCTGAAACTCATCAAAAAATGGTCGTATCTAGACTTAAAAGAAATTATTTAAAATTTTTAAGTTTCTAGTTTTGGGATCTTTTGGCAAATATTTTTGCTGTGCTACGGTTATCACGTAATTCTAAGTAATAGCGCAAGAAAGAAAATTC